TTTTTGACAGGCAATGTAACTATACCACTGTTGATGGCACCAATACATTCCAAGGAAATCAATACAATGTTCCAGCGGGGTCCACTACTGAAATTTTTACTTTTAGCAATAAATATCAGTAAGATGGAATCCTTTTTTGCTGAAAAATTGTATCATCGACAAGGTTTTAGTTATTGAAAGATATGCAGTACACTTCTTCCTTCCAAAAGCTGCTCCACTTTCAGCAATATACCCTATGTTATTGATATTTTCTGGTAGCCCTACACTACATTTTCCGCCCTAAATAAGGACTCCATTTTCAGCAACATGTCTCTTGTTGCTGAAAGTGAATTTCAACAATAAGAACTATGTTGCTAAAAATTTTAATCATTTGATAGTGTGGTGGAAGTTTTTTTATTTTAAATTTTAGCAACATAATACACGTCGTTAATGAGTAAAGCAATTCGAATTCGAATTCGAATTCAAATTCAAATGAGTTTTAGCAACATGGTATAGGTTGCTAATAGAGGGTAATCTTTTAACAACAAAGGCTATGTTGTTGAAAGTTATTTATATACCCCAACCCCTTCTCTATGAATTCTGCAATATTTCTCCTCCTGCATGCCTTCCTTCTCGTCGCGTGACCTGCTACAAATCCTCCGGCCTATTGCAAATCCCCTGGCGTGCTGCAACATCCTCTGCTGCACCTCTTAACTTCTTTTTTTTTTTGTTTTTCCTCTATTAGCACATGTCATCTATATGTATATATATTAATAATTGAAAAAATTCCATCAATTCTCTTTAGGTATATTTAAATCATATTTTTGTAAATATTACATTATTAAGTAGTTATTAATTTATTTGGAAGTTAATATATTTATAAATAATTATCTTTAGTAATTAATAATTCTGTTATTTTATTTGTTTTGTATGTAATTTTTAATAAATAAAATTCAAGTTTGGTAAAATACATAATAAAATATTAATTAATTGATGTTATTTAATTTACATTAATTAAGTTAAAATTCATTAATGTAGTTAATTAATATCAGCAAAATTGGGTGGAAGTATGCAAATAAATATTAGCAACAAGACAAATGTTGCTGAAAACTAGGGAATGTACTATTCCTGAACGTTTAGCAACGTGGCTCTTGTTGCTGAAAATGAGAAAAGGGAAACCACAATTTCCCCTAAACTTTCAGCAACATGAGCCACATTACTAAAAATATAGTTTTAGCAATGTGCCTTTTATTGCTGAAAATGGTTGAATAAACTCCACCATCGATCACTAGAATCCGACAAAAAATACTACCAACATAAATCACGTTGCTGAAACTGTTTTTTTAGCAACAAGAAGTATGTTGCTGATGTATATTGTTGCTAATGTATCAGCCACCAAAGCTTTTTCAACAAAGTTTTCAGGAACAAAAACTATGTTACTGAAAGGCTTTTACCTACATTGCCAGCACTTTTAGCAACGTGCTTCCATGTTGTTGAAGGTTGGAATTTTAGTAGTGGTCATAACATTGCATAAATGTTCGAACTTCTATAATGGTGAAGAGAAGAAACTAACAAGCTGAGGAAGAACCTAGTGTAAACTGTAAAGAAGAATTGAAAAGGGGAAGAGAAGATGAAGAAGAAGAAACAAAATCATCGTGTTGTGACATCAGACATAAATAAAAGAAGGGAAAAAAAATATTGAATATAAACTCCTTTTGTTTGAAAATTATG